GGGGCTGGCAGCCCGCGTGGGTGCGCGGGGTCCCGGGGGTGTTGGCACCCCGCGTGGGTGCTCAGGGGTGCAGGAGTGAGCTGGCATCCCGCGTAGGTGCTCAGGGGAGCTTGGGCGCGCTGACAGCTCTTATACGTGGCTGGGTGCGTAGGGGGGTGTGCAGAGCCTGGGGGGTGCTGGCAGCTTGCATGGGTGCCCACCCGTCCCTGGGGGTGCTGGCATCAAGCATGGGTGCTCAGGGGAGTTTGGGGGTGCTGATATCCCGTATGTGTGGCCATGTGTGATGCTCAGAGTGGGTGTAGAGGGCTGCTGGCAGGTTGCAGGGGTGCCAGGGGGTCCCTGAGGGTCCTGGCAGCCTGCAGCAGTGTCTCAGGGTGCCCAGAGCCTTCATAAGTGTATGGCCGGCATAGACCCTGTGTGGGTACCCAGGGGTGTGTTCTGGTGGCGCCCTGTAGGGGTGCTGGCAGCCTGCGGGGTTCCCCTCAGAGTGTCTGGGGGTGCTGTGCAGTGTGTGTGGGTGCATAGCCCCCCCCTCAGTGTGCACAGGGCGTGAGGTGCTGGTAAGGGTGCGGGGTGCTGTCTGGTACTGCGGGGAGGGCAAACTGGAGGGTGAAGGAAGCCCCGTGCCCTGTGGGGTGCAGCTGTGCTGCTGTGTGGGGGCACAGGGTGGAGGGGGAGTGGGGTAGCAACAGCGTGGTTGGGGCAGGAGATGTGGGGACTGGGGTGGAGGTTTGTGCTGAGCAGTCTCCCTGTGGGGAGAAGCCAGGCTGGGGGGACATGCTGCGAAACGTGGAAGGGTGAGTCTGGGGGTGTCTCTGGGACTGCAGGAGCACCAGGTAACAGGAATGAGAGACTGGTGCTCTGGGGGTGCAGCCATGGTGTCTGGGAGGTGTCCTGCAGGCAGGGGAGTGGGGCAAGGCGGGAGGGGGATCTGGCAGTGCCAGCTGTCACTTGGGTTACACTGAGATCAGTTACAAGAGTAATAGAGGTTTCGACATGTCATAAGGGAAGCGGCAGTGAGTTTTGCTGTGCAGGTCACTTTTCCAAAAGATTTCATATTGTCCGTTCTGCACACAGCCCCTGCTCAGCTGGGGAGAGCTGTCAGGGTCAGCAGCAAGTTGCATCTTGCTTTTGACTTCTGGCGTGGGGTTGTCACTCTGAGGGACAAATTGCTGTCACCCTGACCCCCTGCCCAGCTTTCCTAGACGCTTCACTCACCATGATGAAATTGCTAGTGTGCGTAGGGGAAAAAAAAAAAGCACATGAAAGTGGCTGAGGAGTTGGGTTTAAAGTGGAAACCAGATGTGACTGTTCTTGTCTTTGCTCTTTGTAACGATGAGGAAATGATGTAGTGGGGTTTTGCTTCAGTTTGAAATATTCATTGTGTGGATGAGACAAGTTTTACAGCAGTTTTTCTTGTTGATCACGGGGGAGCTGAGTGCTCGCTCCCTGCTGCTATGCAACCTTTAATCCAGACACAAAGAAGGCAAGTCATGATGAACGCATTTCCTTGGCTCTTCAAAGCAAAAAGCAGCTGGGCCTGCTTGGGGAAAAAAAAAATAAAATCACGGGGAGCGATCAGGCAGACTGATGTAACCGTGCTGTTTTATCTGGAGGACATCGCTGTTGGGTAGTTCAGATAACGTGCAGGCCATCTTTGGGGAGGGGTATCCATGCCTGACCCAACCCTGGCACCCTCTCTGCCTGCTGTCCTTGCCCACAACCAGCCCTTGATGCTTGGCAAAACCTCCCAAACCTCACCCTTGGCCCTCGGGCCTGTCACTGATGACAAAAAGCTTCTAACGCTTTCCTTCTGTAAACTAATGCTGCCGCTCTTCCCGGTCCCTGCCTCGCCAGATCGCCCTGCCTGCGCTGGAGCCGGTTCAGGGCATGATTACATGGCCTGGCTGGGCAGGAGTGATGCATGTGCTGCCTTCGGCTCCGGGGTGCCTGCCTGCCTGGCAGGCGGGCTCACTGCTGCTCTGGAGCCTGGTGTTGCGCAGGATGGACTGGCCCTGCTTTCAGCTGGCGGTGTTGCCTGGTGCTTCAGGAAATAAAGTAGCATTGTTGTGGCCTGAGTAACTGCTCCTGAGCTGCTGGGATCTGAAGCAAGCATCCAGGGTTGAGCAAAGTCCCTTTTGCTCCCTGCTTCCCCTCTGGTTGCAAGGCCGGACCCTCCCAGTAGTTACAGCTCTTGCCTTGTTTTTGGAGGCAGCAGCCAGGTTGAAGAGAGCGGTGCTGGGAGTGGGGAGTGCTTGGGGGCTCTGGGATGGAGCAGGACTCGAGCAGCCTGTGCTGAGCTTTCCCTGCACAGCCAAACGTTTAGGTCTGTGTTGGGACCACATCCTGCGGGTGCTCGCGTGACCCGTTGGGTGCTCGAGGAGCCCTCTGGCAGGAAACGAGCCTGTTTGCAGCAATGATATTTCTCTGCTGCTTCCCCTTGGCCCCATCCCAGCTCCCCACCAGCTCCAGGAAGGACTGGGACTGCTGGGGTGGGGGTGATGCCCGGGGCATGACACCCCAGAAGAGTCTTGGGGCAGGACTGAGTCACCAGGCTGTGTGGCAGGAGCCTGATGGATAATTTCCCTGCCTCTGGTTCTCCTTCCTGCGAGGCATTCGGGGTGCTGGGTGCAGCTGGGGGGCTGGAGGAAGCAAAGGCTTTTTTTGGGAAAGGAGTGGCAGGCTGTGCGGAAGCTCTTCAGGGCACGTGTGGGAATTAAACCAGCTGACTGCTTTCCAGCTGAAGGCAGGAGGCTTGTGTCCTTGGTCAGGGCTTGTGCCCCTGCTCCTGGCTTTCAGGACCCTGCGGGGGTTTTCACTGAAGCAAGAACTCCAGGTTGTGCAGGTGCCCATTAGTCCTGTAGGTGCCTCCATGGCTGTGAAACCTTTGGGGCAGGTGGTTTGCAGTCAGCACGTGGACCATGCTCCTGCTGGATGGAATGTAATCAATGTTTTAAAAATTCTTTTTAGTAAAAAGGCTTTAAAAAAAAAATAAAAGAGAAGTTAGGAAACTTTCTCTTCCCTAGCAAGAGCAAGCTGTTCCCTTGCAGCAAACTGTGTGTGGGTTAATAGTGCTAAATGCTCTTTCCTGGGCATCCTCTTGCTGGCCCTGCACACTGCCAGCATGTCCCTCCCTTCCCTGCTGCCTGTGGCTGTGGTGCCACACTCACCACCCTTGGAGCAGGAGTAGACAGGTCCCTTGCCTGTCGCAAAGCAGGTCACATCCAGGCTTTGCCTGAAGGATCCTGAGCCCGTCCTGCCTGGGTGTGCCCAAAATAGGGGCACGAACCTGCAGGAAGAGCCAGTGGGAATGTGCCATGCACCCTTGACCTTAGGACATGCCAGCTTTGTGATTGCTTGGGCGGGAGCGTGTATAAAAGCCCTGGAGGAGACCTTGCTCTGGCAGTACCAGCAGGTCTCTGCACAATGGCTGACCCCAAGGAGCCCGAGAAGGGCGCTGTCGAGCTGCGCACCCCTAATGCAGCTCCCTCCACAGGGACCATGTCCACCCGGCGCCTCCGCAGCGAGGACTACAACGACTACAGCTCCACGGACGTCACGCCAGAGGGGAGCCCGCCCGGCGGCATGAACGGTTTTGCCCACCCTGAGTCCTACCAGCGCTTTGGGGAGGCCAACGGCACAACGTGAGTGATGTTTCCTTCCCTGCTGGGCTGGCCCAGCACCTGGAGAGGGTGGAGGAGGTAACGGTGGCTCCCTGCTGCCTGCCAGCTTTGCTGGAGGATAGTGGAGCTGTGGTTTTATGGAGAATCCCTTCTGGGGGTGGCAAGGGCAGAGCTGTGGCCCTGCCTCTGTGGGGTGCTGACACCAAGAGAGCAGCTGCCTCAGCGTTGATCTCTGCTCTCTGGTGAAGCTGGCCATGCTGGCAGTGGGTGGTGGTTGATGCTTTTTTCCAATATTCACCTGCTCCAGCTAGGTTCCATGGGGAGCTGTGGTGAGCAAACAGCATGTCCAGCTTCAGAGGGTATGTGGGCATGTTGCAGCCATGCCCTGAGGGCTTCTTCGTGCCTTATTCACCGGCTCAGGCAGAGGGTGCTGTCTCTGCCCAGTGGGGACCAATACCTTCAACTCGGAGACTCTCTTGTTGCGCAGCTGCTCAGTGCTGAGCTGTGCTTTTGCTGGATTTTTGCCCCAAACTTGGTCCTGCGAATGTCCACCCAAAATCTGTTTGCTGACTCTTTGCCTCCAGTCCTGCCTTGCTCTCACTGGGCTGAGCTGGGTTCAGGGGACAGGATCTGGACCTCCACGTGCATTTCCCACAGCAGCTCAAAGCTGCTGGACCCTGAGCATCATGAGCCGAGGGCTGAGGCTGTGCGTGGTGGGTATGCGGGCGTCTACTGATGCATCTTTTCTCTTTCAGGTGGTACCAGACCCTGATCCACCTCCTGAAGGGGAATATCGGCACGGGGCTGCTGGGGCTGCCTCTGGCTGTGAAGAATGCCGGCATCCTGGTAAGGCACCTCTCAGCCCTGCTGTGCAGGAGCTGTGGGGTAGTCACCTCTGGGCATTGGGCAGCTTGTGTGGATGCTGTTAGGGCTCGACTCCCTGCTGAGATGTCTCTTGGTGCTTGGCAGCTTGTGAGCTTTTTCACCCTGGGCTCTATGGCTTGATTCATTTGCTGCTGAGACTGTTCTTGTCACTCCTGCCTTGTGCTGGCTGCTCTTGAGGAGTTCAGCGTGCGAGTCGGGGCTGCGGTTTGCTCTGCTGGGGTCGGGCAGAGTGCTGGGTCCCTGCCTCTTCACCCAGCTGGATGTTACCTCCCTGGCTTCTGCGACATCAGCCCCTTTCTCCCAAAACACGCTGTGCTGTGCTCTGGTGGCATCTCCTCGCCCTGCTCATGGCAGGTTCAGCATGACTTCCACCTTAGTTTGTCCCAGCTGGTCCGTGCTGAGCATTCTGTGTGTCTCCTGAGGGTCCTGCGAGCACAGCACACACGTAACGAGTCCCATCAATCAATGGTTAAGGCTGGTGATGGGGGACGGTGGCGTGCTTCCCTCTGTGGGGTTTCACGTGGGCTGGTCCAGCCTCGCAGCTCTGGGGTCAGTGGATGTGATGCAGCTTTGCTGCCTGAGGTCACACTTGGAGGTCAAACAGCAGCCCCTGGCCACTCTCACAGCTCCCCCCGGCTTCTGTCCCAACGTTCAGCTCCTCTGTGTCTGTATTGTACCCCAGCAACTGCCATCTGTGTGAGAGGTGGGGGCACCTTGCTGCTCTGCTCTGGGTTTCGTCACTCGACAGTGCAGTGTTCCTGTTGCTCACATTGAAAAGATAAAAATAATTTAAAAAGAAAACTTGATTTCCTTTGTCCAGACCATGGCCTCTTTGTCACCTGTTTAATAGGGATGTGCAAGATACTTTGAAAAACAATCCTGGAAGCACTTTGCCAAGCCCAAACTGCCTTAACTTGCTTCTTTTGCATCATTCCTGCCAAGTGCTTGGTGCTCTGTGGGGTTTCTCGGTTCTGGGGCAGGGGGGGCAGTTCCCAGGAGCAGCACCTGAGCCCCGGTGCAGCCTTCAGCAGTGTTTCAGCTCACAGAGCCGGTGTTTTGTCTGGCAGTGAATGTCATCGTGCAGCTCTGCCTTTGGCCATCAGAGTGCAGCCTTCCCCCTCTCTTCCCCTGCAGCTGGGTCCTGTGAGCCTTCTGGTGATGGGAGTCGTGGCTGTACACTGCATGGGCATCCTGGTGAAATGTGCCCATCACTTCTGCTACAGGTAAGGAGCAACTCCCCTCCTTGGCACTGCTGCTCCTATGTCTCTTTCTTCTTTCCCAGGAGGCTCTGTGGGGTTTTTTAAGCCTCCCAGCAGCAAGTTGTCCATGTTGAAGCCTCCATTTGAAACTTCTGGGCTTTTCACAGGAACTGTTTTCCCATTAATATCATCATTTGCCTTGGGAAACAGCAGACAGGGCTGATGTGATGTCCCTTCTCTCTTTCTTTCTTCTCTGGACAGGTTCCAGAAGCAGTTTTTGGACTATGGGGGTGCCGTGGTGTACGGGCTGGAGTCAACTCCCAGCGCATGGCTGCGGACACATGCCGTCTGGGGAAGGTACTTGTTCCCCTGCTCCAGGCAGGGGTCTTTAAGCCCAACATGTGCTGCAGCTGGGACAGAAGAGCTGACGGGTCTCTGAGCTGTGTTGGCAGATGAGTTCAAGTGACATAAAATGTTATTTGGTTCATCTACCCTGAGCGCTCAGTGTCCCCCGAGGGTAACATTGGAGTCTGACTCAGTCCTGTCCCCAGCCAGATGTGGCTTAGACTAAAGGAGGGGGTGAAGTAAGTTTCCACAGCATAACAAAGGGGTAAATAACATGTACTGCAGTGCTGGCCTGTCTTGTTAGACACTGGGCATGTCTAATGGCTGCTCCCAGGGATGCTCCCAGCCCTGTGGATGTCCCATATCACACAGATCATTGCACATCAGATGCTGGGAACTGCCACCTATTCCTGTGTCTGGGAGTGTTGTCTCCAGCTGCGACAATTCAGTGGACTGGAGATGCTAAACCCAAGCAGGAGACTTTCCTCCTGAGGCTGGTCCTGACTAGGAGGGTATAGGAGGGGACACTGTAGAGCCTGAAGTCTGCGAGGTTAGGTGGAGGTATGGTCCTCTCTCCTGATCATCGAGGAGAAGGCAGCTGGGCATGCTCTGACCTGCACATCTCAACCCCTGGGGAGACCAGCATCGCTGCAGCCTTGGAGTGCAGCCCCAAGCAACCCAAGTGGGCTCTTATTTCTGTGTGGCCTGGCTAACGAATGGTCTTTTTTCTATTCTAGGCGTGTAGTGGGACTTTTCCTGATCGTCACTCAGTTGGGTTTCTGCTGCGTGTACTTTGTCTTTCTGGCTGACAATCTGAAACAGGTTAGACTTGCTCCCTCTTTTGTGAGCAAGGAGAAGGTGAGAGAGGGTGTGGAGGTGCTTGGGTTGTTCTTAGCTCCTGTGTCATAGCACTGTTCTTCACCAAAGGTCTGGTTTCTGTAGCTGCTGCTGCTCAGGAAGGTGCTGCTCCTCTGCCCTGGTGTTTTGGAGGATCGTTTTTCCTGTTTAAAGAGGGCAGGTTTTTCTGAGAGTCCCAATGACTCTGCTCCATGTGCAGAGGTGCTGGAGCCGTCCATGTCACCCAGGGGAAGTGGGGACTGTTCCTGGTGAGGGAAGGCAGGAGGGAGCTGACAGAAGAGGGACTGTACCTTTGATGCCCTGCCCGCCGTGGTTAATGAGTTTATTGATACTCTGTAGATGGTAACATGTGGGTACCAGGATCTGCTGTGAACCTCTCTTCTCCCTTTCTCAGACCTGTTTGCATTCCAGTTTCTTTCCTCATCCTGTGGCTCTGGAGCTTAATTACATCTTTAGGGAAAGAGTTTCCTTCTGCCAGGTGTCAGGAGGAAATAAACAGAAACCCTGAACTGTTTGGCTGGCTCCAGCTCTGTCAGAAACTGGGAATAACAAGTCCCTGTTCCCAGCCTCCACCAGCTCAGTGCCTCGCAGGTGGGGCTCAGCATTGTTCCCACGTGTGCTCCTGCTCTTTCAGCATGGTCTGGTCTCTACCGCTGTGGCTGTGCCCTTCATCAGCTCTTCCCTGATGCCCCTCAGCCCCAGAGGTGGTTCCCATTGGACCAAGGCAGGGGTCTCTGCCACTGGGTGCTGGAGGATGGATGGGCTCTGCCTCTGCTCAGGGAGCAGCAGCTGAGGGGATTCCCTTTGTGCTGCCCTGTGGGATGGCTGGGAGTAGGAAACGGGTCAGTGTCTGTGATCTGATGCCAGCAGCCCTGGGAGCAGGAGCGAGTGGGGTGTGTGCGTGGGGCTGGGCTCCTGCTGCTCCCCACAAATGGCTCCTTGCTGCTCTTTCAAGGTGGGCTTCCTTTTGCTGGGCCCCTTGCAGCAGAGCCTGAAGACTGGCTCAAGCCATAAGGCAGATTTGCAAAAAATCTGCAAATTCAACCCATTTAGGCCATAGCTGGGAAACTTCATGCTTGGCTTAATTTTGAATTTTTTTGGATGTGGGGAGGGGAGCGCTGCTTGTTTCTTTTTGTGGTGGGGAATACTGTGTTAGATGGAGAGCAGTGGTGCAGGTGGTACCTTGGGCGAGGTGCTGCTGTGCTGGACGAGCTTTGGTTTGGAAAATGGCTTTGGAGCAAGCCAGAGAGGCAGGGCAGGCCGGGGCTCGAGCAGCGCTGCCCCGTGGGTGCATGGCTCTGCACTGCCCTCTCCCACGGAGGATGCTGATTTGTGCAGAAGCTCTTTAGCTTCTCCTCTGGGGCACAACTCATTCCAGAGCAGGTTAAATTAGTTGGCAGGCAGCTCTTTGCTGCAGTGGCCAGATGGCACCTGGGACCCAAACCAGCTTGGTCATGGTTGTGTTGGTAATCCACAGTGTGCCCGTGCTCTTGGGAGGGATGGCTCAGCCACCCATTTCCAGGGACAGAACTGTCCCTAGAGGTGAGCATGTGGCCTGGAGTGCCTTTGGAATGAAAGACCCCAAGGAAAGGACGATTTTCTATGAAGAAAGTGAAGTTGGGGGCCAGCAGTAGCTTCCATGTCTTTGCCTGGGAACAGGGCCCTGGGTGACTGAAGGTGTGTGTGATGTTGAGTGTAAAGTGGTGCAGACAGAGGAAAATGACCTTTGAGGAAACAAAATGCCTTTTTCCTCTCTTCTCAACTGGTGGGCAGCACAAACCAGCCTTCGCCCTCGGTGTACTTGGCTGCCAGGTTCGCGTGCTCAGTGAGCCTGGGCTCGGGCAGGTTTTGCTATGTCAACTCAGATGCTGTAGTTAGTCCCTCCTCTGCTCCTAGCAAGGTAACAGGGATTTGCTTTGAAACTACCTGAAAACCCGTGTTACTTTGATTTTAATTGACTAGCTGTGTTGAAAGTGAGCTGATGGGGTAGTATTCTGACCCACCTGGGTTGGGCTGCCAAGATCTGTGGCTCTCAGACCTGTGTGACTCTCAGACTTCTACAGAGAGACCTGGACAGGCTGGAGTGATGGGCTGAGGACAACTGGGGGAGTTTCAATAAGGCCAAATGCTGGGTTCTGCACTTGGGCCACAACAACCCCCAGCAGCGCTACAGGCCTGGGGAGGAGTGGCTGGAGAGCTGCCAGTCAGAGAGGGACCTGGCGGGGTGATTGACAGTCGGCTGGACATGAGCCAGCAGTGTGCCCAGGGGTCCAAGAAGGCCAATGGCATCCTGGCTTGTGTCAGCAATAGCGTGGCCAGCAGGGACAGGGAAGGGATCTGACCCCTGTACTCAGCACTGGGGAGGCTGCACCTCGATTACGGGGTTCAGTTTTGGGCCCCTCACCCCAAAAAGGCCATTGAATGACTCGAGCGTGGCCAGAGAAGGGCAACGGAGCTGGGGCAGGGTCTGGAGCACAGGTCTCCTGGGGAGCGGCTGGGGGAACTGGGGGGGTTCAGTCTGGAGAAGAGGAAGCTGAGGGGAGACCTCCTGGCCCTCTACAGCTCCCTGCCAGGAGGGTGCAGAGAGGGGGTATGAGTCTCTTCAACCAAGGGACAAGCGATAGGACAAGAGGGAATGGCTTCAAGCTGTGCCAGGGAAGGTTTAGACTGGATATTAGGCAGTATTTCTCTGCAGAAGGGGCTGTTGGGTGTTGGAATGGGCTGCCCAGGGCAGGGGGGGAGTCCCCATCCCTGGAGGGGTTTATGAGTTGGGTTGACCCAGCGCTGAGGGATCTGGTGTTAGGTTAGTGTTAGGTCAGTGTTAGGTTAATGATGATTTATGATAATAAATATAATTATATTTATTATATAATATACAATTTATATATATCATATATAATAATATAGGATTATATTATATGTATTATTTTTATATATTTATATAATTATATTATCTAATATAATAGATATAATTTATGATTTATTTAGGTTAAATAGATGATTCTGTGATTCTGTTCATCAAGCCTTCCTGTGTTTCCGCAGGTCATATCTGCAGCAAATGGGACCACCAATGACTGCAGCCCAAACAGGACAGTGGTCATGACCCCCACCATGGACTCCCGGCTATACATGCTTTCCATCCTGCCTTTTGTGGTGTTGCTCACGTTCATCCAGAATCTCAAGGTCCTGTCCATCTTCTCCATGCTGGCCAACGTGGCCATGCTTGTCAGCCTTGTTGTGATCTACCAGTACATCGTCAGGGTATGTGCATGTGGTTCCCCTCTGTGATGTCCCATGTTTTGGCATGTGGAGGGAGCTCAGCCGTGGGGTGTGTGCATGCTGTGGGGTGCTGCTCGCTCCCGTGGGCACAGCGGTTATCCTCTGCTCCACAGGGCTTCCCCTGTGGCATGGGGCTGTGACAGGGAGCCATGGGAGCAGGCCAGGTCCTCCCCATCCACCCCGCATCTGAACTCTGCGTGGGCTTTTTTCCAGGACATTCCTGATCCCAAGGACCTGCCTCTAGCAGCAGCCTGGAAGACCTACCCTCTGTTTTTTGGCACCGCGATCTTTGCTTTCGAAGGCATCGGGGTGGTAAGTCTCGGCGTGTGGCAGCGGGGCTGCCTGCAAAGGAGGCTCAGCCCATGCTCGGGCTTGCTGCAGCACCTGCTCTGCGTTGCAGCTGTATTTGCAGATGAACTTCTCTGACAGTAGCCCAAATTCTGGATGATGCTGTTAGCTTTTAGCCTCCAGGCTATCTCCTGGGTCAAACCCTGTTGCTTCCATCTGAGGCTGGAGGAGCACATGCTCCAAACCTCAGGAGGTTGGTTGCTGCTTTGAAGGTGGCTGTATCTGGCAGTGGGTTGGGCTCTGCTGGGAATTGCACTGGCAGCTGCCTTTGGCTCTGCTGGCTAACCTGTGGACGAGGAATCGTCCTGAGTCTTGTTACTAAGCTGGATCCTGAAGCTGCTTAAGTGAGAGGCCAAAAAACGTGACAAAAAAATGTGATCTGTTCCTTCCCACCCTGCTGCGGAGGCACCGAGATCTTCCTTCGGCAGCCGCGTGGCTCCAGCCTGCCGTGGGGCTGGATTTGCATGTGCCTCTCATACAAGACGCTGTAAATAGGCTGGCTGTGTCTGTGAAAAAGCTGGGTGGGTGGGTGGAGAGCTTAATGGCTCCCTAAGATGTTGTGGGTTGCTTCTGGGAGCTCCCTTCAAAGGAGAAAAAAATGTTTTCATCTCTTAATATACGGTGGCTGTATAAACACAGGGCTGGAGAGGGCCAAATCCATTACAGGAGGAGTGCTTACTGAATGCTGTGCCCAGGGCAGAGGGCTTTTGCTGTCAGTGAGGCACAAATGCTCTCTTCCTCGCATGGCTTGGAGGTGTAGAAGCAAATAAAAGCTTTTCTGGTCCTGCCTCCTTGCCAGCTCTGCCACTCTGTCTCTTCTTGGAATCCCTACCACTCAAGGACAGCTATAAAAATGTTTGCTGAGGTCCTATATTTGAAAGCGAATGTTAGTAGTATAGAGGTGAGGGACTTGCCTTTGTCTTTTTTTATTTTTTTTTATTTTTTTATTGTCCTGCTCAGTTGAAATCTGTCCATTCAAACTTGATAGGAGAGGAGAAGGTGTCTTGGTCTTTCCAAGGTCTGCTGGGGAAAATAAGACAATGTAACACGATGAGCCTGTCCCAGTGGGCGTGACTGTGCTGTTTTGGGGTGCAGAGTATAATGCAACCAAGGAATGGGGCAGATGGCATCGCCCCAAAAGGCCAGGCACCAATGGGCACAGCTCCTGCCAAGGGGAGGGAGCAGGTCCCTTCGTTAAGGCAAGGCCGTGAGTGACTTTGATGGAGATGTGCCATGCCAAGCGTGAAGGTCTCGAATGGGAGCACAGAAATCAGATCACCAGGCTTTTTCAACTGGGTTCTCTGGGCTCCACGTGTGACTGTCCCATCCCCTGTCATGGGGGGCTGTGCTTGGCCATGGGGCTGCCTCTCCTGCTTTCTAGGGCTGAGTGGTATAGAGGAACGGGGAAAACCTGCTGCTCTGTCATCCTCTTCCTCTTCCTCTCACAGGTATTGCCTTTGGAAAACAAGATGAAGAACCCCCGGCAGTTCCCACTCATCCTCTATGTGGGGATGACCATTGTCACCATTTTGTACATCAGCCTGAGCGTCCTGGGGTACCTGCGCTTCGGGGCGGACATACAGGCCAGCATAACCCTCAACCTGCCCAACTGCTGGTGAGTCCCAGGGGCGAGGGAGGAGCGTCCTGGCCAGGGAGGCAGGAGATGGGGCAGTGGGGGATGTTGTTCCTTAGGAGAACTAATCTGGATGAGCTTGGGGAAGGATGAAACGTGCTGTAACCAACTGTCCAAAGGAACTTGTCAAGGGTTGTCTGATGCATGGGGTGGTGAGGCTCATTGCTGCAGGGTCTTGGCTCTGCAGCTCAGGCTGCTTCCTTGGGGTCCCTGGTGGTCCTTGCCTGGGTAGATGCAGCTCCTGCCTTTTTCTTGGAGCCTTGTGGTGTCTTTTGGGGTGATAAACAGCACTATGGCTGGCAGATGTTGAACACAACCCCTGCATGGCAATATTGGAAGGTCATTGAACAGTGGAAAAACTGCTTCTCTTTCCCAAATGAAGCACATGGAAAACTAAACCCAAGAGGGGTGAGATGTGATGTCTCCATGCATGGGCTGCTTGTTTGCAGCCCTGGAGCTCCAACTCCCACTCCTGGGCTCTTGTGTTTTGCCTGGATGCAGCTCAGCTCGAGGCAGCACTTTGCCTGTGAGTGCTGGTGCTGTGAGGATACCCCTTCCTAACCATGGGGGCCAAGCTCTGCAGCTCCCCAAACCTGTCTGTCCTCTTCTGGGATCCAGCAAGGCTTCTTGAGATGCTCCAGTCTCTGGCTGGAGCCCTGTGGAAATAAATGTGGCCTGACCCTGTACCTGCTTACCTGGAGGGGTTATTTCTCCTCTTTCCAGGGCTGGTGGCTGTTGCAGCAGCTGACTGGGCTGCATGCTGGTTTGTTCTGGGGGTTGGCTGCTCAGTGTCACAGACCCATATTCATCCCAGAGCAGAATTGCAAGTAGTTTTTCTTGCCTTTCGGACAAGAATTGTGGAACACGCAAATATAGGGAACAAATGTCTTTTCCAGCTTGCTCTGCTTGGGACTATTTGAGGAAGTCCTGAAAAAACTCATCTCAGTTCTTATGACACTCTGTTTTAGCGTGTCTGTATGGCAGAACATGGTGCTGACAGGCGAGGAGGAGCTGGAGAGCAGCTCTTCTCTGCACTGCAGAGGTACCACTTGCACAGCAGCACCTGCACCTCGGTGCGGAGCTGGGCTGAGGGTTGGCTTTGATGCCACGAGGCTACTTGAAAAGCCATCCTGTGGCAACACAGTTTCTCTGGGTTTGCTTAGGAGTACTCTGAAGTTCAACAGTTTCTCTTCTATGTCTCTACTGACTTGAAAATCCTGCAAGAGACCAGAGTGAGAATTTGAGCTGGGGGTGCCTGTCCCCCTCCCTAGCCCATCCTCTGCTGTTAGCAGCTGCCCATCACTGCAGTGGGTCTTGCTGCCTCTTCGCCCCTGTTGAAGTCAATGTGGCTAGGACTCAAATTTTGAGTCACTGATGGGTTTCCACATGCTGATCTTGTAGACCTGCATAGCTGGGGCTCTGGAGAAAGCGAAGATTTTTTTTTAAATTAGAACCTGCTTTGCTTTAATTATTGCTATGTGTTGTTTGGTTTTTTTTCCAATTTGAGTGCACGGACTTCCGTTCATGCTGGATCTGTGCAGTGACAGAGCTGCTGGATATTGGTGTCTGTGTGGTAGAAGGTCCTGCCCCTACTGAGAGCCCAGCTTTGTCCCCTGCAGGGGCTGGGAGCTCTGCCAGGTCCCTGCTCTCAGCAAAGAGGGATGGGGCTGGTGGGAAAACATAGGGAGCTCTGAATCCCACCATCCCAAGCACAGGAGGTGTGAATCCTATCCGCTCCGCAAGCTGAAATGAGGTGAGGAGGTGACGAAGTGCTGCTGCTTCTCCTGAAGGTGGAAAGCAAGTTAGATCCAGGTCTTGGGCTCTGCAGGGCACCAGGTAACGCCACAGCCTGTAATGACATCTGCTGGCCTGTAACGCTGCCCGGGGGCTTCTGTGGCAAATCTCAGCTTTGTTTGCTCTAAAGAATGACCTTCCTTTAGAAGAGGGTAATGGGATTTCTGTGACTAGCTAGGCTACAGAAAGACCCTATTTCAAATACGTGTTTCTAGGAGTATCCACACTTTATGTTAAAGTACTTTTCTGAAAAAAACTATCGGGTTTTTCAGACAGTGAGAAGAGCCCTTTGGAAGTAGTGCCTGGGGAAGCCTGGGCACGTGGCAGGGCTCCTGCGGGCTGCTTCTGGGGAAGGTGTGCTGCAGTCCTTGTGACTCAGCAGGCAAAACACTTCAGTGTTTGTGCATGTTGCTTCCTGGCAGAACATTTGATGGAGGCTGTAAATACTGGACTTGGAAATGAGTTATCTAAAGTGAGGGTTGGGATACTTGGGCTAAAGCCTTGACCGCTGTATTCCCATGCATTAAACTGTAGGTGATGGGTGAGGACTTGCTCTTGAAATGAGTGTTTTGCCCATCCTACTTTGCCTGAAGGTTTTCTCCCCAGCAGTAAAAGATGTCGGGCTGCAGAAGCTGGTCATAAGGGCTGTGGGTGAGAAGTCATGGGATTTGCCTGCGGCGTTGAAGACGAGGTGAGGATTGTGGCAGAGATGCTGCATCCTTCCTTGGCTGTAGCTGTTGCCTGGAGGTCTCTAGAACAGATTGGATGAACGTGTCAGGAATCGTTGAGTTACAGGATGACTAAGGACTTTTCCAGTCTCATTTCTCTTTAACCGCAGCTTCCTCAAATGAGGAGTGTGTCAGTTCCCAGTGCCCCATCTAACCAGGCCTCTAAAATATGCAGAAATCCCTCCTCAGAAGCGTTGCTTCACCCCACCATCTGAAGAGTGAAGAAATGCTGCAGTGAGGGGCAAGATGTTTGGTTGCGTATGGCCAGTTGGAGGTAGGTCATGACAGAGCTTATGGCCAAAGGAAGGTGATGCCATTTCTTGCAGCTTGTTGGGATGGCCTGGTGTAGCTCGCTGGCTCAAGCAGGCTGTGGTTGGCAGAGCAGTGGCTTTCCAGGGCCCTGTGTGGACCCGTGTTTTCTGGGGGTCAAGGCTAGTGCTTGAGCTCTTCCTCTTGTTGATATTTAAAATGCCCTTTGAGCTTGTTGTCCTGGTTCCTGACCTGTACAGGATTGGTACCCAACCTTCTTCTGTACCTTTTTTAATAACATCTCTTAATCGTGGATTGCCCTCGTGCGCTTTATGGCTTTACAGCATCACTTAACTGAAAACACAACGATAAGATATTGCAGGCCGTGAGGTGGGTGGCTCAAGGCTACCGTGCACTCAAGTCATGTGTGGCTGAGTGGGCGCACTCTGGACTCTGTGATAGCTTTGTCTTTAGTTTGCCTATGGAATCACAGGTTAACTTAGGTTGGAGAGGGCATCAGGTCCACCCACCTGCTCAAAGCAGGGCCAACTTACATTCTGAATATCAGTAAGGAGGGAAGTTCCCCACCTCTCCAGGCTCTTGTTCTGGTGCTTAACTTGCTTACTGGCATGCAGCTCTGTCCCATTGTCCCTGATTCTTCTACTGTGCAACTCTGAGAAGACTCTGTCTGTCTTCTCTGTGCCCTCCTATTAGGTAGCTGAAGACAGTAGTAATATCCCTCTTAACCTCCTCTTGATGCTGAACCACCCCAGGTCTCACAGCCTTTCCCTGTACGTCATGTACTCCAGTCCTAACTATTTTAGTAGCCTCCACTTGACTTGCTCTGGTAGGTCAATGTCTGTCCTGTCCTGGGAGTCTCAAGACTGGACACAATACTGAAGATGCAGCTTCCCAAGCCCCAGACAAGAGAATAATCCTTACCCTTAACCTGCTGGTTATGCTTTTGCTAACACAGCCTGGTATATGATTGACCTTAGTCACTACAAGGTCCTGCCCTTGCCTCATGTTCAGTTTGCCAAGACCTCCAGGTTCTATTCTCCTGGCTAGATGGGAAGCTGGGCCTCAGCCCTTCCCATGTGTGGGATTTTGTGCTTGCATTTGAACTTCGCCTGTGCCACCATGTTGTTTATGCTCTGCTCCAAGGTGTGTCAGCCATCCCCTTGAATTTGGTCTTGGTGGGAACTTGCTGAGAGCTCATCCAGGTCCCTGATGGGGATATTCCCATGATTGCCCATTGGCAAATCCCCACTGGGTGTTCACTCTGTCCAATATGTGCCTGGAAATGGATGCTAGGAAGACATAGTCCATACTTTTCTGGGGATCAAGGTGAGGCTGATTAGCCTATAGCTTCCCTGATCCCTTCATTCCCTCTTGAAGGTGGATGTGATTCTTCTTCCCAGGCCAGGCAGTGGGACCCTGATCACCCTGCTCTTTTAAAGATGATAAAGCGGCTTCAGGCTGATGTTGCTCACAACCTTGAATACATCTGATCTGGTCCCACGGACTGCATAATGCCCCATCACTTAGGTGATCCGTTACGCCATCCCCCACGACTGTGGGAAATGTTTGACTCCACCAGACTTTGCCACCAGTGTTCAAAGTTGTCTTGCATGTGAATACTTGGCCTTCTCTGGTTTGAAACTGTTGTTGTAGCAGCTGAATGCTGAGAGCCAACACAGAGGGACACTGGCTTGGGCCCAAAGAAGGCAAAAGTGTGTAAGAAGGCAGGAGGAACCAAATACCTTCTTCAGCTTGTATCCACTTCATATTTACCCATGTGGTATGGCCAGGACCCATGTATCCTGCTTGGTCAGCACGTCTTGAGTTGGGGAATGGGTGGGATCATATGTGATGTCACTCCTCTTTTGGAGAGGACAGAGAGGAGGCTTGAAGGTGGCTTTCTGGCCACCTGTGACAGGCGCTCTCCTGCAGCCACGCTTGCCCCCCGCCCCCCCCGCATCGCTGTAGGATCTGGGATGTGGTGAGATCTGTCTCGGGGTGAGCCTAAGGTGTTGTCTGCAGCCTGTCTGCACTCTGCCTTCCTTCTGCTCAGCCTAAACTGCTCTTTTAACTGTCTTGCCCCCAAACATGTATTATGCAGCATTCCAAAAATAGCTGCTCTTTTTTGTTTTATGGAGGAGGTTGAGTTGCACGTGGCAGTGGTGACGTTTACATCACATTTGCTTTGTAAGCCCAGACTTATCCCTGGAGTGCTGCCCTTTTCTCCCTCCTCAGAAGCCAAACAGTAATAGAAATCTGTGAACTATTCATGGCTGCAGCTGATAAGCCTCTTTGAAGATACTCTTTGTCTCCTGTTTTAAGATGGTGAATAAAATCTAGCTGGTTACAAATAGGAGAAAAGGAGGGGTTTTTTCTTCCTTTAGCTTGGAGGCTGGATTTTGTTAGTGAAGGTCAAGGTGAGGAACCTTGGGGTGGGTGATGGATGCAACTTCATTCTGGGTCACTGGCCAAAAGTCAGGATTGCAGGCTCTTGGCAGTACCAGTGCTGGTGGGTGTTTGGGTGTTGTCTGGGGGGGGCAGTCATGAAGGCCACCCAGTGTCACTGCAGACCTTGCAGAGTTCAGCCTTGTCAAGTGGAGAGGGTGGTACGGAGCCTGTGTCTGCACGGGGAGCAAGGTACCTGGAGGACTTTGTGCAGCCAAGGGCAGTGTGGCGCATACCTGAGCATCTAGAAATGTGGGTAGGTGCCTTAACTTGTTGAGGAACAAGTTGGGCTCCTGGTCCCTTGGCCAGGGACACCTCAGCTTTCCCTGTGCCTTTGCATGAGTTAGGAGCAGGACAGTGTTTTGGTGTTTTTTGGAGTATTTTTCTTGTTGTTTTTTCAAATAGCTCTCAATATCTGTTTCCATGAGTTTTACCAAGGGGAGACAGCACTTGAGAGGCTGCTGGCTCAACTCCTGACCTGATGATTCTTTATGCAAAGCCAAGCCTAAAGGCTCTGATTAGGTGTGGGGGAATGTGTTGCTGCAGCATGGAGGTTGTGCTGTCTCCTTGCTATCTCTTGCCCAAGGAGGGCCTCTGTGGATTGAATGCATCACCCCTAATTTTCCAAAACTGTTCAGGACACGAAAGTCCTTCTTGGCAGAGCATCCCCTTCTACTTTCTGCCATCGATGGGTGAGAGCTGGAGCAAGAGTGTGTCTCACTGGTCTCCTCCTTCTTGTTTGCAGGCTGTACCAAGCTGTCAAGCTGCTCTTCTCCTTCGGGATTTTCTTCACGTACGCCGTGCAGTTCTATGTGCCCGCTGAGATCATCATCCCTCCCCTCGTCGCCCGAGTGTCGGAACGCTGGGGCTGGCTGGTCAACCTGCTCCTCAGGGTGGTCCTGGTCAGCGTGACCTGTGAGTAGAAAGCAGCTTGTTTGAGTTCCCCTATGAGGATGTGGCACCTCTTTCCTCCCACAGGAGGTGGTGCTGAGAGCCTGCGCCCCTTGCCTTGCTGCCTCTGGCCCTGCTGCTAAAGCCTCACAGCAGGGAGTTCCCTGGACCTTGCTGATGCAAGCCAGTGGACAACGGTGGCCTCCAAGGAGCAACAGCAGTGGTCCTCTGCCCCTCTGTATGAGACCAGTCTTCTGAGTGGAGGAGTAGTAAACTTCCCAGATCATTTGGAGGTCACAGATCCCTGTGGAGTCTTGGGCCTGGAGTCCCCCTGATGGCACTTTTGGGGGGCATTGAGATCCATCAAGCTTTGTACAAAACACTCCCAGCACCTGGTCTGGAGCCAGGGCAGCCCAGACTGGAGGCTGTTCTGTGTAGGCAGCATGCAGCCAGGCTCCTTGTGCCTGTGTGATGGGGACACGGCTGCAGAAGGGTTGCAGACCACGAGGGAATGGGTGTCCACGTACACACACGTTCATTGCAGCGTGTAGCACAGCAGAAGGCAGCAGACAATGGTACATGACCCATAACCAAAGCCCTGGTGTGCCCGTGGCAGTCTACTGGGGTGCGGAGTGTGCTGCAGGGCAGGTCTGGCTGGATCAGCCCTAAAGTGTGGGGGTTTTTTTGGTACCTCAATACGAGAGAGATCTCGAGGTGCTGGAGCGAGTGCAAAGGCGGGCAGTGAAGCTGGTGAAGGGCCTGGAGAACAAATCCTATGAGGAGTGATTGAAGGAGCTGGGACTGTTTAGTTTGAGGAGGAGAAGGCTGAGGGGAGAACTCACTCTCTACAACTACCTAAAAGGACATTGTAGAGAGGGTGGTGCTGGTCTCTTCTCACAGGGAATTAGCGATAGAAAAAGAGGGAATGTCTTTGAACTGCAACAGGGGAGGGTCAGACTGGACATTAGGAAAAAAATTTTCACAGAAAGAGTGGTCAGAGAGTGGAATAGGCTGCTCAGGGAGGGGATGGAGTCACCATCCCTGGATGTGTTTAAGGGTCATTTCGATGAGATGTTGGGGTTGTGGTGTAGGGGAGAACTTTGTAGAGTCGGGCTGATGGTTGCACTTGTGATCCCAAAGGTCTTTTCCAACTTGAATGATTCTGTGATTTCCCTTGATGGTGTTTGGTGCCTGCGGTGAGGCTGTGGTGAAGTGGGCTGCTGGGCTTGAGCCTGGTGGACCTTGGGAAAGGTGTGGAGCAAATCAGGTGCAGGAGTATCTGATTTTGACTGGCTTTGATTCCCAAATGCTAAATCCTTGCTGTTGTCAGCACAGCTGAGACGCTTGACTGAGCTCCCTGGCGTCACCTGCTGAAAAAGAGCTTTTCTCCTTGGCTTGATGCTGCTGATGCACCAGAGCTGAGCATCAGGGGCCTGGCCCTGCATCTCAGCTGGCTTTAGTTTGGGTTTGAGAGGAGCGTGGTGCCAACTTGAGGAGGGTGAAGCTGGCTGAGAGCAGGGTGCTGCTGGTTTCTGGGCTCTTGTTAACGATGAGCCAGAAGTGCTGCATTATCAGAGGTGGGCAAAGCCAAAAAAACCCCACCACTGTGTGCTGAGTTCCTGAAGCAGTGCTCTGCCTCCATGCCTGTAGCTGGAGGGATGGTGCAGGGATGAAATCCTGCCGGGCTTGACCATGGGCTCTAGCCACCCTGGTGCTGTGGTTGGACTCAGAGCCTGCCTGTGGGATGGAAGCCTCTCCCGGAGGGTTTTGGGGTTTGCCTGGCCAGGGAAGTGAAGGCTTGGAGTGATGGGATGGCTTTAGGCACTGGCAGTGGCTGTGCCCTCCTGTTTGGGGGTAGGGAGGCAGCGGAGGTGTTGGTGGAAGGATGCTGGTTCCTTTGTACCTCCCCTTACCCTTCCATGTAAGAGAGGGCTGCGGCTGTTGGTGAGGATAAAAGCAATTAGGGGGATTGCATGAATATTCATCAGATGATTGCGTGGCTGGGGAACAAGCCGGTATCATGGCTTTGGCTTCTAAAGAGAGGATGCAATTTGGTGTATGGGTGTCTTTTAAGCTTAGACTTCAAAACCAGCACACTTAAAAACCCTTTGAATTAATACCTGTGGAAAGCATGACCGTTGCCCCTGGAGGCTAAGGACTGCAGCTGGTGCTTCAGTTCTGCTTGTTTTAGAGGAGGGTTAATAATTTTGTTTACTTTGAGTCCAAAGAGAAGTGTAGGGTGGGCTGAAGGTGCTGTTTGTGGTCAGTTGCTCTGCTCTCCCCACACGCTGCCGGAGCAGGGATGCTGTTTGCAGCAGAGACCTGGAAGAGTGCTCCTTTGCCTCTGTGCAGGGCTGAGCACTGGGATAAACTTCCTCCAGGTCAGCTCAGCAGGGACCTTTGCTGCTGTTTCCCGTGGTGGAGTGATGGTTTGTCTCTAGGTTTATTCAGATGACACAGGGCTTCAGTGGTGGTGATGTGCAGGAGAATCTCCTTTTTGTGTCTTTGCCTGCTGTCAGCCTCCCAAGCCTTCCATCTCCTGCGGTGCCATGGGTGATTTTTGGCTCAGGGAGGCTTCAACAGCCTCTTGCCTGGGAGTGAACAGATCCCCCTGGTAAGGAGCCCTGAGGTGACCCTTCACCACAGCTGTAGCTGCCACGGTTCTAGGTGTCTCCTATTTCTAAGCAGAGCTTTCAGAGCAATAAACCAATTTATTTCTCTTGATGCTGAAGTCTGCTTTGCTTGCAGAGGATGCTCTTCTGTTGTGCAAAGCTCGGGTTGCCTTTTTCTCTGGCTTTATTTTACCAAAAAGCAGCAGCGATGCTCTTGAATGCTGAGGTTGCTGTATATGGGGAGCTTGCTCAGTGCATGAGCATCCCGAGGGCCACCGCTCCTGGTTGCAAAATGGAATCTTGACCATCCTTTACTTGAGATCTGCTCCCCAAACGCCAACACTGCGGTGCCCTGAGAGGAGCCCAGAGGTGGTGGCTGTGGCTGGCTCGGAGGAGAAGGCACCATCCCTCCGTCCTCCCCTGGCCCCGAGCAGGAGCAGGAATATGCCAGAGTTTGCACCGCTAAGTTGGAGCTGTCAGAAGTTTCCCAGGGGGATTTTCCTTGGCTGTAGTTTTTACTGAACAAATGTTCTCCCCAGGGCTGTGCCGTAGGTGCTCTGCTGTTGGAGTAGCTCTAAACACAAGCAAACCACAAGGATTTATTCGGGGTGGGGGAAGAGATGGATTTTTTTCTCCTCCCATCTCCTGCTTTTATGGGGTTTCTGAGGCTTTACGGCTCCCCAGGTGTGGGGGGCAGGAGTGCTGGCTCTCACAAGGGGGGCCAGCGTTGCTGGCAGCTGCTCTTCTGCCAGCGGCGTCTGTTTGCCGGGGCACCCATCCTGCTCAGCCCTGGAGCCTGCTATGGGGGTGCCCAGGGCGACAAAAAGAGTTTCGTCTGTGAGCTGCGCTTTGTTAACTCAGTGTAACGGCTTAATGGCTTGTTGGGGAGGAGTTGCTGGAAAAATACGCAGCCATGTCTTCAAAGCTCTTTTGTCAGGGAAAAGGGCAGAGGTGTGACTTAAGCAGATGGCATCCCTGCGGTGGGTTTTTGCTCACTTTGACTCGGGGGAAGAGGGTCTCTGCTGCCTGGAGCCGGCAGCACTAACGCCGTGTCTACTCCTTCTCCAGGTGTCCTGGCCATCCTCATCCCGCGCCTGGACATCGTCATTTCGCTGGTGGGCTCCGTCAGCAGCAGTGCCCTGGCTCTCATCTTCCCCCCGCTGCTGGAGATCGCCACCTACTACACAGAAGGCATCCACCCCCTCGTCGTGGCCAAGGACATCGCCATCAGCCTCTTCGGCTTCGTGGGCTTCGTGGTGGGGACATACGAGGCGCTGGTGGAGCTGATAGCGCCCGCCGCTGCTGTTGTGAACAGCACCAGTGTCATGGTGCAGTGATGGGCCCCCCCCGACCCTGCCGGCCCCTCTGGATGCCATGCTGGGGGCACACGGGCACCGGGCACTGCTGGTCCCCTGGGAATGGCCTCCCCTCTCCTCTCGGGAATCAGGGTGGCTTTGGCCTGCGAGAGGACAGGGCCACCCCCCACTGCAGCCGTCCCTCTGCGGTGGGGTCCCATGCTGGGCTCCGGGCTGGACCAGTGCCTTCCTTGGGGGCTTTTTGGGCAGGTGATACAGCAAAACAGCCCTCTGGGCACCTGTAAATAGTCACTTTGAGAGGTGAGGAATCCCAGGGATATAGATTTTGATTTTATTTTATTTTTTTAAATCCCAACCTTTCTGTATATCCCCCGTTCCTTCAGTCAGGGCGGGGAACAGGGACTGTTCTTTTTTGTGCCAGTTTGTTTGGTTTTTTTTCCCTCAGCACTTTATTTTTACAGCAACAGAGAAACCTCAGCTCAGGTTGGAAAGTGTGGAGCTTCTTCCCCACCCCAGCCTTGTGGGGAGGGTGGGCAGAGCCACCAAGGTTTGGAGCATCCTGGGGCCCCCCCAGCTCTCCCGTGGTGGGATCCCCAGACATGGCATTTGCTCCTGCCCTGCTCCGGTGCTGTTCCAGCTGCCTCGGGAGCTGGGCACTGGGCACGGCACCTCCCTGCCCTGGGAGGGTTTGCTGAACCCTGGTCCACGCTTTCAGTAGTGACACTTCTTTTTTCCCCATCTAACGCACATACCTAACGCGTGGCTTTAGAGAACCGAGGCATGGGGAGAGCGAATTGGCTCGGCCAGAACAAGGGTCTGAGCCAGTCGCCTTGGGGTGTGAGCCCCCTCCCTGCACGGGACATGGTGTCCCCGGGGCTCACCGTGTGCTGCCCACACACCACAAAAAACATCACCTTGTTTACAGTGCCCGAGCTGGCCCTGGCACGCTCCGGCTGCATTTGCAGGCTGACACTGAATGTCAAATCACACACAAAGGATTTTTTTTTTTTTTTTTTTTGTGTGTTTAGGACAAGAGAGCAAATGCATCCTCCGTGGGATGTCTTTTATTAGAGGTGCAAAAAGGTTTTGGCTGAGCCCCCTCCCCTGCAACCCCGTGTTGGCCAAACTCCTCCTTGCTAATGCAGCATCTCCCAGACGCCAGCAGCGTGGTGGTTTCCTTTGGAGAGCCTTTATCCCTGCATCCTGCTGCACCCGTGTCTCCCTGCGGGTGGGCAAAGGCTGCTGGCGGTGTGGGAAAGGAGTGTGAATATAGCCCTGGTGGGCTGTGTTCCCATCTTTGATGGAGGGTGAGTGAGGCTTGGGGTTATTTTTGGTGTTTAACCTGCTCCTGGGAGGAGAAGGCTGTGCAGAGCGGTGTCCCTGCAGCCTGCCTCCTCCGTGTGTCATGTTTCAGTGTCTTGCGCTGTGTCCCCTTTGCTGGCTCTGCTCTGGGTGCCCTGTGCCGGTACACGGACCCGTGACCAGGTCCAGGGCAGGTCTGTGCCACATCGCTGCTCCTTTCCAGCCCCTCACCTGCTTGCTGCATCTCTTGGTGCTCGCTTCGTCTCCTCCAAGTCTGTGCTGGTGAAGGTTTTGGCCTGCTCCAGCATAGCTTGGTCCTGACCAGAGCAAAGCTTTAAGTCAGATCCTCCATCTGGAGGACACCACGGGGATAGAGGGCAAACGCGGGGGCTCCAGGGCATGCTGTGGACAGGAGAAGTGCAATATTCACGTCCATCACTCTGTACTGACCCTGGCGTGGCCCTTGGGGGCTGGATTTGAGTGCAGAAATGTCACCCTTGGCAGAGCAGGGCATGCTGTGAGGAGCAGGGGACGTCTGATGCTTGCCCCCAGCTCTGTCGGTACTCCACAAGAAGGCTGGCCACGTTTTGGGGGACAGCTGTGTGCCAGGGCATGTCCCCAGCCCGGCACTGGGCATCAGTGGGTTTGCTAGAAGGGCCCCACGCATCCAAACTCACTTTGCAATCAGTGATGAAGACCTCATTTCCAAGGAGACCGGGATATCACAGCATTAAATGTTTTTAGCAGTTCGTCACTTTTATTGGGGAGAGCAGGGTGTGTTTGGAGATGGGGCCACAGGTGCTAGTGGGGGCACGTGGTGTGAGGGGCTCTGCCAAACCAGGAGGACCTGACACAGGACTCGATGGACACAAAAACTTGACACTTGTGTATTGTAGGCTGCTCTGTAACCAAGGAAACTGTAAATATACGAGTTATTAATGTACATGTCTTGTGCCTATGGATATTGTCAGCGTACTGCGTGTGTAGCTGCCCAGTGCAAGAGCTGGTGCTGCACCTGAATCATGTATCTTACTTTAATCAATAAATATGATCTATTTTTTACGTGAAAAGGTTCTGGGGTGTGAGATGAGGGTTTCTCTTCCACGAGGCAGTTGTAAAACTACCTGATAGGGCCTGGCCCAAGCAGGTCTGAGGGTCTCCAAGGGGGACTGTGCTGTGCCAGGTTAGATGGAACAGTGGTGTGGTATTAATGTCTGTGGACATTCTACAACTTCTGGGACTCATTTCCTTTTTTTTTTTTTTTTTTTTTTTTTTTTTTCTCTTTTTGCAAATACAAGGGCTAGGGGAAGTGGGGACGTCTGTGGGAGAGAAGGAGACCTGGAGCCCAGCAGGCAGCTGGGATCAGACCCTGTGCATTTCTCACCCCTGAAGCAGCATACAAGACTTCTCCTTCTGCTGAGGGTTTCAAATAAAAGTATTTCAGTTTTGCTGCTCTGGAAATTACAATTTTTATTTCTGACTGCACGGGTACAAGTAGGTTGTGGGCAGAGACTTTTATAGGGCTTGCTGGGCTTGGGTCTTCTCTCTGCCCCAGCAAAGCTGCTCCTTGGCTGTGTCCTGGGATGCAGCAGTCTGGTTTATGTCAAAGGTGGGGCTGGAAAAAGCCTGGCATGTGCCGATGGCAGCGGCATGGTGGATGCTGAGCTGCTGCTGATCTGCTCGAGAGATCAAAGGAGCAAAAGCCAGCCCACACGCTTGGAGACGGCTGGGCACCGTGCCAGCATTGCTGCAGCTCAGCTTATCCTCCCGCTGCTGAAAAATTCATGCCATTGCCGTGTGTCATTGGCAGGGCTCTTTGGGCAATCAGTGCTATAAAAAAAGTTAATCTCTTGAAGCTATGGTAGAAAAGTCTCCTTAAAGCATGGTGGAGAGTGTGGCCTGCAGAGGGGGATTGGAGGCCACCTGAACCCCAGGGTGGGAGCAGTGGCTGAGCTCAGGCAGCTCCTGGTGGCTGGGGTATTTCTGACTGTGGAGAGTCACCATGGCTGCATCCACAACCGTCCTTTTTTCCGAGGGTTGAGCACTGCAGGGCTGCAGCCATTCCATGAAAGGGCTTTGCTGAGGCTGCCCCTTCCAGGTGTCACTTAGCAAAGCATCGCTTCTGACAGCCAAGGCAACCCTGGGGAGTTAAAAATCAAGAAGTCTAAAGGAAAATATAATCGCTGTTATTTGTGCTGCTTCTGATGCTGGGGAGAATAATTTGGGTTCACCTTGTGGGAAAAAGCAGTGCATGCTGCTGAGAAATTGGTACTCTTGGAACAAGGGTGGGAAGGCAGCAGGGTGACAGCCTGGCCACCCCTCAGAAACCTGCCCACACCCTGAGCCAGCAGCACTGGTGGGTCCCTGCTGGGATACCACTTGTGCCAGGACTCATGCCATCCCACTCTGCTGGAGGTGCTGGAGAGCTAAGGCACAAACAGGCTTGTGAGCAGAAAACAGGGGTAAAGCAGGTGAATCCCATCTTTTCCTCTGGCCATAGAAAATGCTGCTTCCCCAGCAGGCCTGGGGATGACAACCTACCCTTCACAACACCCCATCAGCACACAGGGGGTGAGACTGCTGTGGGGACTCATCTGCAGTTAGAGTTTTATTAAATATAGCCACAGGGAACTGCAAAACTCAGAAGCCCATCCCAGCAGAGAAAACCAGCTGAGGACCTTCAGAGGGGCAGCCAAGTGCTCCCTCCCCTGGCTTTAATTTGGGATTAACCCCAGCTGTGGTGGGGTAACAGGGAGAGGGGGAGGTCAGGTGATGCTTGTCCTGCAGCTTAGGCAGTGGGGAGGCTGCCCTGCTGTTCCCTTCTTGGCCTCTCTGTGTGATGAGCCCCCCTCAAGCGAGCAGGTAGGATGTTGTGGTATCCCTGGGGTGTTTTGGGGGGTGGGGTGAGCTCCTGGTTTGGGATGCGGAGCTGGTGGCAGGATTTGCAGCCTGTGGTGCTGGGGCAGCGTAAATGTTGTGTGGTCAGACTGGGGGTTTGGAGCAGTGTGCTGTATTCGGGGGTTTCTTCTGTTGCTTGTGCTGCTCCTGTCCAGAGGCAGCCCCGGTCTTGGGCCCATCAGAAATGTCATTGCACTTTGTCTACAAAGTGCTTTAGCATTGTGGGGTAATTGAAGCTGGCAAGGACCTTGGGAGGTCTCTCCTTCAACCTTCTCCAGCCTGAAGCAACTCTTAGAATTAGAAAAAACCTCTCTTTTTTTCTCACACCTCCCCCAGGATCTCTCTTGTGCTTCTCCACAAAGCCCACTGATGTCTGAGCTTAGAAATGCTGTGCCCAGATTAATGCACAGGGATCGTGCTCTTTTAGGATGAAGGTGTTGAGAGGGATTTATTATGTAAACCCAAACAGCTAAAATATCAGTCCTAATCCAGGTAGGGACTGATTTCTGCTGAGCAGAGCTGACTCCCAAAGAAGCAGGCTGTATTTCTTTGTACACCTTGGGGTAACTGAGAGCCTGAGCCAGCTGGCCATGGGGCTGGTTCCAGTTTGTAGCTGGGTTGTCCCGTGAGAACATCCCTGTGTGTCCCAAATGCAATCCCCTTTCCCTGCTTTTGGTTCCAGCAGGGGATGTGAATAGCAGGTTTTTTCACATCTGCTGGTTGCCTGTGCCAAGCATCTCTACTTGGGTGTCCCAAGCCCCCCTGTGTTTGTGCCCGTTCTTGCGTGCCCTCCCTCAGTTCAGCACTAAGGCATGCAGCAGTTGAGAAAGCCAAAACTTTCAGGCTTGGGTCAGTAAGCACTGGGAGAGTGGTTTCGGGGATGGGGTTCATGGGAAGTGTAATACCGATGTTGTTGGGGGGTGTAATAGGTATTTAAGACTCAGACATACCCCTTCACTGGTGCCTGGGGGTGCTGCTGTATGGACAGTCCTTCTGAACCTCCCAGGCGCAACCCTGTGCTGTTCCTAGTGCTGCTGCAACGAAAATGCAAGCAGAGCATTACAAGAAATGGCTTCTGTTTTATTCTGGTATGGAGAAAATGAGCACATGGGAGACTTCACATGTCTTTGTTCTTAGGAGTAGCAAATGAGGAACGGGTAACCTGTGGCTGCGTGAATTATAGGTGCTTGGCTGCCATGGGGGAGAATGTGGCTTCGCCCTTGGCCAGGAAGAGGTCTGGGGAGTCTGAAGCAAACCTCTCTGTGCACCCACCTCCTGCACCCAAACAGTGGTTCGGGGCTCCCAGATGATGCTCTGGTCCTCGTTGTGAGCAAGAGATTTCATGACGTCTCCTTCTGGCCCTGTGTGTTAGTGTTCTGAGGTGTTCCCACTTGTACTGCCTGGATTTCCTTTCAACTGCCGTCTAATAAATACACTTACAGACACTCGGGATGGGCTGATATGCACCGACACGTTGCTGCCTTGCTCTAGCCTACGCTGGCATCTTCCCCACAGGGCTGTTGAATTAAATGAGTGTTTTACGAGTATTTCCCCATTGCTAGCTGGGCCGTGGCATGACTGCTGGACAGCAAGCCTGAGGGAGTGTCAGCAGTGACGAGCCTGAGGGGTTTTGGTGAAAAAAATAGTTGTCAAAGTGCATGAGAGTTTTGAGAGGTAAACCAGGCAGTGCTTTGTGAGGCTGTGGGGGTGGCTGGTGGGTGCTGGAGGAGTGGCAAGCAGCCCTGATGCCCAGGGGAGGCTCGGGCAGGGGTGTGGGACTGTGGGCAGGGTTTACAGGTGCTGGGGCTGGCTGCTGTGTCCCACAGAGCCTGTGCTGGGTGTTTTGGGGACCCATCTGCAGATATGCTTCAGTCAAGTGTGTTTTCCAGGTTAATTGGGTGATAGCCATCTCCTTAAGGGCTGTGGTTTTACTTTCAGAAATTAGATGAATTTCTCTTTTCCCAAGTGTGGTTGGGGATGGGAATCAAGGCAGGGCTTGGATTTGGGTCCTTTAACCTCTTTTCTTCTGAGCTATCAGATAAGGGAGGCTTGTGCCTTTCTGAAGTGAGGCAGGCTACTGTGGGTCCGCCTCCTTCCTCTGGCCCTTATAGGATCCTCAAAGATGCATTGAACTTGCTGTCTTGGTACTTCTCTGAAGGCTCAAGAGGCTGAGGGTGCTGGTGTCCAAAACAAGCTGCTATTCCCTGGGCTGCCCTTGGCTGGAGCTAGGCAGGGATGTCCTGTTTACAAGAGAATCCCCGAGTTACAGAATAAAATCATAGTAAAAAAAATCCAAACTCTTTTAATACTTTCCAAAAATCAACAACAAAAAAGTTACATCAAACAACCGACCAAAGAAAACCTCTCACGAAGAAACAATACATTTCCAAGCACAAGGACATACAGGCAAACCCACACTCAATGGCCTCAGTGCCCCGTCTTGGATAGGAGAAGCCACGTGGTGCTGGCCAGTTTTTCTGGGATACACTGGGGAGCCCCGGCTGGGTGGCAGGACCATGTACCATTATGTTCAGCACGGGACCACGACAGCCACGGGGCACATCTGTGCTCCCATCCTTGGGGCAGGGTCTCCCTTACTCCCGTGAGTGCAGCCCAGCTGGGCAGGGGTCTTGCTTTGCTGCTAGCTGCACTGGTTTGAGTCTGCGAGTGGTTCCTGGTGTGATGAAGCTTGTTGCTTGGTTTTTCTATGGAAACAGACATTTATTTTTTTTCTTGGACATCTGTTGGCCAAGTGAGGGACGTGCTGATGGGACCAGCTGCGTTCCCTCATCTCTCTCCCTGCATGGGGAGAAGACATAGAAGAGGGTTTGCACCAGCTGATCCATTCCACTGGACACACTGTTGGCTTGATGCAAGCCCTTGGAGCCAGAGCTGGGGGCAGGGAGCCTCTGCTATCCCACCTGGGGTACTCCCAGGCTGTGCATCACTAGTCCTTTCACACCTTCTCCACCACGACTGCTGCCATGTTTGCAGTGCTTGCCCTCCTCCTCCTCCTCATCCCTGTGGCCTGGGGTGGGAGGAGGTGGCATGCTGTGGCCCTGCACAGTGTCAGAGGAAGTCCCCTTGGCAAGGAGGCAGGTTAGTCATTGGCATCCCAGGAGCATCCTCTGTGTCCTGGCAGTGGCTGGAGTATTTCCCCTCTGTTTGCAGCAGG